TCTGCCCAGGGTGATGGCAGCAGGGTGAGGGGCGAGTGTGAGATATACTCGGAGGAAGCATTGCAGGGCTGGCTAGTGGCCAGGAGGTCATGGGAATGGAATAAACCATGGCACATTTAGCAAGACACATGTGGAGGGAAAGTCTCCACTTTGGGGGGTGGGCATGTTAAGCTAATGACTGGATGCTGAGCCTGGAGCAGGAGAGGCAGGAGGAAGGAGAGACCAGGGGCAGATAAATTTAGGAGTCACCAGCAGGTGGCTGATAGTCTACCTAGAGAAGCAGGCTGGACCTTCCAATCTTCAGAGTGGCACATTAGGGTACCCTGGGGACAGGGAATTACAGGCTTTAGATGACTATTTCTGAGGATGGGACTGTTTTTATAGGAACATCAGGGCTGAGAGGCACTGATTTATAAGTTCAGAAGAAGAGGGAACTCTGATGAAAGTGATCAGAAGGACTGGCCAGAGAGAGAGGCAGTGAAGTGAAGTGAGTGTCCAGAAGGGAGTGTGGCCACTGGGTCAGTGTGCTCCAGAGCACATGGAGAACAAGAAGGAACCTCCAGGTGTGCTGTGCAGGGTGGAGCCCACTCCCACCAGTCAGACCCCAGGCCAGATGCTCTGGGTCCCCAAGTTTGCTCTGCAGATTCCTACTTTCCTGGCGCAAGTTCCACCTGAGTAAACTGTGACACATCGGCCTGTACGATGCACGCTCAGCCTGTGACTGTGTGGGTGTAAGTAAAAGAACAAAGACAGAAGTGGGGTGTGGCATCTAGGTTCCACTTCATGGGCACAACTACTGAGGATCTAGCCCTAACCCTTGTCCATGCCAGCCTTACGAGCTTGGTGAGTCACTTCCCTTCAGGCCTCAGGGATCCCAGGCATGTGATTATGGTTGGACTAGATGAATGGTCTTTAATTTTTTTTTCTCATTTATATTAAATTTCAAAAAAAAAATTAAAATGGCACAGGGAGATGGCTACACATGCAGGGTCCCAGGCCCCACTTGCTCCTCCCACACATGCAAGGCTGGCAAGTCTGTACGGGATGCCAGCAAAGGCCCGAGAGCCTCCTACCCCAGCCCAGCCCAGGGCAAAGTCACTGGTTGGGTCATGCAAAAAAATCAATAGCTCAGGAGATGTTTTCACTTCCTTAGGCAGAAAGCCCCAGTGAGAACTCAAAGAAGTCACACTCATGAAAGGTCACAGGTAAATGCCAGGCCCTCTATAGATATGCACTGGCTGATTCATTAATACTAATTGTTCAGTAAAAGCAAACAATGCCATGATGACTTGAAACTCTTACTGGCTTCATAATCTCTTCTCCTTAGGAAAAAGACTGTTCCAGGTAAACTCAGACTGAAAGTAGTCAGTGGATCACATGCAGTTGAGACATTGGTTGAGTTATTTTTCTCAACCAATGTTCCTCCCTAAAAGATTACACAGAGCAATTCTTGGAAATGAGGAATCAGAAGGAGCTATAGGCACCAACACAGCAAGCTCCATGGCTGAATGTTAAGTGATGACGAATGTCTGCAGCACACAGGGAAGAGAAAACTAGAGAACAGCGTGGTAGAGGAACAGTAAGAAGAGTAAACTCTGGGCCAGTGAATGAACTCCTCCCCTGATGATGCTGCAAACTACACACACACACACACACCATCTCCATGTTGATGAGATCTCAGGAGCCTAGGACTACAACTTCCAGCATGTCATGAACCTGGCTTTCCGCACAGGGTATCACTGGGAGCCAGGGGCGGAGCTAAGCGGCCATGTAACTGAATCAACTCTCTGGCTTTTCTGGCTTCCACTTGCACCCTGGTACTGCTGGAAGGAGACACATGAGGAGAGACATGTAGAGACACTTCTTGGAAGAGATATTTGGAAAAGACCCATGGGGAAGCTGCTCCTGGTCCTTGGCAGGGACAATGGCAGCCTTCATCGTGATGAGGTATATTTTGAAGTTTGAGGCTATAGGCACCAACAGCTCTCTGGGACCTGCCTAACCCTTTTCCTGTAGTTCCCTACCTGAAGGTACTTTAGGTTTGTGGCACGTTTTCAGGCCTCAGCGGCCCCACTTTGGAACAAATCTGTTTGGTTGGGCATTTGCCCATGAGGAGATGGGTAGTTTTTTTGAGTTTTATTGGGACAAACTATTCTTTGAAATCCTCTCTCTCTCTCCCCCACACACCTATTCTATTAAAATATTTCACACTAAGAGTCTGCTTTCTCTGCCTTTGTGTTTCTGGATGGCTGAATCCCTTTTTATAGTAGGCACCCCTTAGTAGTTTGGGGTCCCTGGACACCCTTCAGTCACACACTAATAATAGGACAGAGGCAAAACTCACAGGGAAGAAGGCAATCCCATGGTGAAATGAATCTAAATCAGGCTAAGTATGCATGTGAGAAAAAAAGGACATTTTGAAAATGTTGGACATACACTTTATAAACAAGTGAGCTATTGTTACTGCCAATTCTGTAATCAAGGGTGTTTTCCTTTTTTCACATTTACCAAATGAGTTTTATTCTTAAACTAAAATTGTTTTCTTATTTACCTGTTTTAAGAGACTGGTGAAAAGGAGACCAGACAGCCTACGTCTGAAACTCGGCACCCTTCCCCCTTCCTAGTTATGTGACTCTGGGCAAACCTCATAACTTCCCTGAGCACTATAAAGAAGACCGACTATCTTAATAATGAGGTTATTAGAACAAGAAATAGACCATGTTAAAAGTGCTTCCTTATTAATGCATAAATAACATGAAGTACCAGCACATCTAATGAGTGTGATTTCAAAGCAGTGATATGTAAAGGTGGTATTTCAAACTATCTGTTTACAGTGAAGCATGACATGAAAATATTTATGATTTCTTCTGGTGACAAAGTCACAGGATCTGCTGACACCACTGGCTTTGTGTTGTATGATCGCACTGAAAGAAATACTGGAATTCAGGGAGAAGTTTGTGACAAGAAAGATGTCGTCTTTTATCCCTTTGTAAGGTTACAGGACCCTAAATTTCTCTTTGTGGGTCCTTTAGGGGACCCAGCACCTCAGTGTGAGAGCCCTGTTCTAGAAGGTACTGTATGTAAGAGTTAACACCTGATCAATCATTTCATCCACAGCCAGCAAACACCACTTTGCTCTAAGCACAGGTACCACAGAACTAAGGCCAGCCTTGGATATAGCCATACTCTAAGAACTTTCACAGTCTCTGTTCACTGCTTATATTGGTTCTTCCAATTTTATTAGAGTTTGTGGTATCTAATGCCAAATCCCCTCTTAAATATCTAAGTAAAAGCAAAACAAATGAACAAAAGCAAGCCACCAAGTCTGCTCAAGTCTTACTGTTTGGATTTTAGAGACTGTAGATGGGTGTTATGGAATAAACATTGTGAGTCCTCCACACTCCCATTTCATCAAAAATAAAACCAGCCCTCCCCAGCTGCAGACATTTTACAGGGATGAAGTGAGGCAACACATATTAAGTTGTCTGAAAATAGCCAAGTCTTGTCCATGGATGGGGTTCCAAGCACACTGTGAAAGCCAACATGAGTGTCTATGAGAAGGGGTCCAGGAGCCTCCTGTGGCAGAAAAGACTATGAGGCAATCAGTAGAATAATGGCAGGGGCTTCGCTCAAGGATGAATAAGTCACACACAGGGGTCCCCAGAAAGTAATTCAGTTGTGAATTCTGTGAAGCTGTCACTAAGGAGGTTATTTCACACATACTGCACCGTGCTCCACCCAAGACTACCTCTCTGCTTGTACAGAGACCGCAAGTAAACGAAAATGACTTGCAAAGACTTTCCTATACGTGACAAGACACAGAAGGAGTTCTGAAGCTTCAACCCGAACATCAGCGCAAGTCCAACATGCTTCATATCTATCCTCGTGTAGGTTATTCTATTTTTACTCCCAGCAAAACTGATTATCTGCGATGTTCATAAAGACTGCAGAGTTAGTATCAGGCATAAAAATATAGGTCAATTCAAGCAAAATTCCTTTCTTATTAATACTTAATAGAGAAACTCTGAAAACGCCAGAAGAAACTTTAAACTCCAAAGAAGCAGCTTTTCATTCCTATTGTTTATTGTAAATGATTTCACAAATTCAAGTGAAAATAATTACAGAAAATTTTATAAATGCATTAGTAGCCACTTTTGCACCAAGCTATCTCCAAGCAGAACAGTCACACTTGTTTCTAAAGGTGACAATGACACACTGATACATAAACGATGTCACTTTGAAAGTGGCATAACTAATTTAGATTAGGGTCAAGTAAACTTGAATTTTAAGTCAGAGGTGTCAAAACAAAGGAGAACTGGTCTGTCCTACCCATCTCATCAGACCGGCAAGAATTTCTAGAGAGAAAAATTACTCCTAAAAAGGCACCTCTGGAATGAACACCAAAAACATCATTACTAGGAATTGTTTTAATTATCACATCTTTCTGAGTCTGCAAAACCAGGTTTCGTGCCTTGTCGTCAGCATGCACTGGGCAGAAGTCGTCTCGTGAGCTGCTCACCTGACCAGCTGTCAGCTCTGCGGGCGTCGAGGGCTGGGGCTGCTCGGCAACATCCCAACTCTCCCACACATGGCCAGGCCAGGCTTTCCCACAGACACCATCAGCCCTGTCCACGTGCCTCGCCGTGCACACAGACCCGGGCCCAGAAAACCCACAACTTTGTCTTAAATGACGACAACTCTTCTCAGTACGGGTTTCTAAGGCCTTGCATCCATTTTGGGTAAGGGGCAAAGTGGGAGTATTTTCCAGTTCCTCCGTCTGAGTAAGAGAAAGGCAGTCCAAACAAAAGGCATGCTTATCCCCAGAATTCTATATTTTCTATTCAGAGCACTTAAGACCAAGGTGTTTTTGTGGCATACCCCTACAGCCACATCTCTTTGACTGCCTTTTCATGCATGGAAAATAGGCCACGTGCCAGATCTTAGCTGAGGCCATGACAGGCAGCTCCGCGCTGTCACCGGGAGAAGGGGGCGCGACTTACGGAAGTATTTCAGTGTTTCTTCAATTTGCTCGGTGGTGAGGTCAATGTTGGCATCTGGAGAAATGAGGGGTGTGTGGAGCCAGTCATCGTGGTCATAACCGTAGATGGTATCAGCTCTTAACTTGTAATGGGGCAGCTGCTCCTCCAGCAGGCTAATGATCTCGACTTCCGGCAGGTCGGTGCTGTTGCACACGTCTGGGGAGAGGAGACAGAGAAATCAGAGCCCGGAACTGGTTATGTCCTTGTTGCTGCTGTTAACTGGCCTCGTGGGCTATGGGAGTAGGTGACGTAATTACTTACCACAGTGTGGCAAGGCCAGCGCGGCCCCATCAAGGATCTTTCTAACCTATTTCAATTCTAGTCTGGAATCTTAGAATTAGGCATGCTTACTGCCAAGATCTGCCTGAAATAGTCCCTGCTGTTTAGCTGCCCACTTTCTGAGAAGTAAAGCCAAAATTCTCCTTTACCTTCTGGGCTAATTCTCTGTTCAGCCCTTTCTCCGGCCATTCTTTGTCAACCACTCTATACTTGAGCCAAACCAGTGATAACCGCACCGATACGCTTAGCTTCTTTCTGCCACTCTGTCACTCAAGCGTCTCCTCCACACAGGATTTTGCCTTCATTTAATTGATTCATCTGTTCATCCATCTACAATTCCTTCTATCCATCCACACAAACAGGTCCTGAGCACCAGAGACATGGTAAACACAGCCATCATGGTACTGACCTTGCAACCCTTGTATTCTTATGGGGCTTCTAACCACTGCAAGACTTGAATACCACCTCTCCCCTGACAGACTGGTATTCTGAACACTCCAAACAGAATCGATCTGCCTTCTCACTTCTACACTCACAGAGCACTGTGTCTGAGCTTCTATTACTACTTAGTATGTTCTATATTCTGGGTATTTTAGGTTCTGGGTCATCTCCCCAGGTGTCATCCTTGATCCTCCACCCACACCCCTCCATAGTTTCTGGCCCAGGCAGTGGCCAGGGGTATACAAAATGCCAATGAATGTAAAGCAATCCATACAAAGCACATCAAAGCAGGCCTTTTACTTAGATTGTAGACATGACTATAGGGAAAATGTACGTACCCAAGATGAGGCCCAGTCTTACATTCCTCTACCCAAGGGAGAAGAAATAAATACTAATGGGTAAGCATAGATCAATCATTGACTAATTCTGACATTGGTCATGATATCCACCCAATTCACAGAAAGTATTCCAAACGATGACAATAGACTGTGGTATGAGTAGAAGTGGTCTTTGTCAACCCTACAATAAGCTGAGGTGTCCATGGTGCCCACCGCCGAAAGAGAAGAGAGCTAACTCAGTTTTCATTCTAGGAACGAGCCTTCAATGAAGAAAAACCATTAGCTAGATGAGGACGCAATGGGGTCAATTTCTAAGAAGGTTGTTGCACCAGTTCCTGCCTAGAAGTAGGAAGCAAAGGTGGCGAGCCTGGATCAAGGTGGAGAACACAGAGTGTGATTCATGCTTCCTTGTGATTCTGTGTGTGATTCACCTGCTCCTCTTCAAAGTCTAAGAAAGGGCAAGGTAAAAAACACAGGGGATAAATAAAACCACACAATAGCAGGGGAAATAAGGAAGAGGTCTAAATTATGAGGCAGTCCTAAAATGTGGAAGGTGGCCTCAATTTGAAGGAGGAAGGCCCAGCATAAATGTGAGCAACTGGTTCCTTTCTACAACAAGGAGGAAATGAGGGGTACAAATGTTGGGAGGAGACAGACCCCTGAAGCTGGAAGCTAGCTGAGGAGAGAGCAGGAAGAGCCCGGGGCAGGGATTCCTTGGAGAACCAGAACAGGCACGGCAGGAAGGACCAGTCCCTTTGCTCTCTCTGCCTGAACCAAGAGAAACCACAGAGCCATTCACACAGGAGACCCCTGTGCCTGTAGAGCTATGCTAAAGATTTACCAAAATCCTGTCTCCTTTCTAATTAATAAGAAGGCCTCAGAACAGGCCCCCCAAAAGTATCTAATAGGTAAAGAGAGCATTCAGTGACCAGCTGGAGCCCAGTGAAAGCACCTGTGGCCACCACCACCACACAGTACTTCTCACTGGATTCAAGATGTAGAGCATTTTCATTCGGGAAGTCAGCATGATTTTTTGAGCCCTAAGGAAAATTATCAGTAGAAACTGAAGGTGTTCACTGGTAGCTTTGGGGACCAGAGGCAGGACAACACCTGAAAGCCTGGGATTCTCCACCTAATTGTGGGAAATGTCGCAGCACGTGTGCCTGGCATTTCAGCTACCAGAAAACCAGAGCAGAGCTGCTCCGCCACTTTGCAAAGGTCTGTGGTGAATACGAGTTGTGTCCTTCCCTTACCAGAGCCAACAGCCCAGCCTCAGACAGGAGATGCCACACATTTCTCATCTCCCACTAGTAGGAAAACACCATCAAGATGGGCTCAGCGAAGACAGTATCTTCCCCTCTCACAATCAAGAGGAAAGTAAGTTCCCACACAGTTCCTCTCAGCTATAGGATAGCCTCCATCTGACTGAGCCACACACGAGGACAGGAGAACTAATGCCCAACTGGCAGCATCTTTGGCTAAAACACATCTGCTCCACAAAAGGCAGTGCCAACTTGTCCCCAAAACAATAGAGAACCAACACATTCCTGCATGACACACCACACAGCAGGTTGGACACTTCTGGTGTCACTGCTACTTGGTGAAAGAGAACACAGAGACACCCAAAAAATCCCTTCTAAGGATAATGTGTCACTGGGGAGCATGCCGGCAGCTGCTCAAATGCTGAGCGACCTGTCCTTACACATTTCCAGGGCGAAGGTCAAACTATTTACAGTGCAGGTCCCTGTGGCCAAGAGATACCGTTTTCCTTAATAGCTCTGATGACTACTGAGATAAAATACCAAAAGCTGAGACTGTGGCAAAATGTTTTGCTAAAAACTTTGTGTTTAATTTTTCCATAACATGACCAAACATCGAACATCAGCGAGTTGTCAGATGTCTGGAATGAAGGCCTAAGAGAAGATCATGGAAACTGTTCAGGGAGCTCTCCCTGACCTTGGCTACAGGGCCCATGGACTCTGCAGGGGACCTCCCATGGAGAGGGGACACCATATTTATCTCACAGACAACACACATCCCAGGTCTGAGACTAGTAGACACGAAGTCTTTGAGACTTGCCGGAATGTTTTCAGCCTGCCAAGCACAGATTGGCAAACATTCAGACCATTCTCCAACCTTCCCAGCACCTGGAGCATAGGTGATATTTGTTTTTGTTTTATAGACAAGGAAGTTGAGATTCAGAGGCGATGGAAGAGCTTGTTGGTCCAGGTTCATGGCAAAATACGTGGCAGAGCCAGTGTGACAAGACTCAGCTGCCCTGCTGAAGGCTGCGCCCACCTTCCAGGTGGGCACGCTAGAAATATAGGGGAGTCCCCAGGACAGCCTCAGCAAGGAAGTATTTGTTCTAAAGCAGTGGAAGCCTTTGTAAATGTGACGGGATGTTCAGTTAACCAACCACACTGACAGATCAGGATGGTATGAGGGTGATTTTCCTTCTAGAGCACAGGAAGTAGAGCCGAGAACTGAAGTAACGTGTCTGCAGAACCATGAAGGGTCAGTAGCCTGAGGACAGGCCCATTGCCCTCTTGGAGCTTGTTTAAGCTCCTGTTGTAAAACAGATGTCAGCCTGGAGGCAAGCGCTTTTACATTCTCCATGGCCGTCACTTCTCCACAGTGCCAGCTTCTATCAGTAACAAGCTATGAAAATATGTGCTCAGATGAATCTCAAATCAACCTCAGTATTGAACCCACCAAGTCAATGGTTTCTGGCATATCTACAAGCAACAACCAAGAACCCCCCACAAAACCCCGGTATGTCAAGCCAGACAGTCAGGGTGGACTTGCCCCTCAGCATCTCCCCGTCCTGTGATTACTGCACAGGCCCAGGGCAGTTGCTCTGTACCCCTGTCTATGAAGAGATGCCTTTTAAATCACAGTATTGGCCTCATTTATAAACTTCCCAGCTCCCTATAAAGTGCTTCATCAGTCACACACACCTTCCAGAAACAGAGGTTACTGGTCTTTCCCAACATCCAATTTCTGTTACTTCCCTTTTGTGGCAAAGCCCCAGATGTTTCTGGACACACAGCCACCCTGCTAAAAACTACCTCTCCCAGTTCTCCTTGCACTAAGGTATGTCCACTTGCCTGGCTAACAGAATGTAGACAGAACTTCCAAGTCCGGCCCTTGCCACCTGCTAAACTGCAGAGACGGGGCTGGTCCTGGGGTGCTCTTCCGAATAGACAAGGTGATGCCGAGGGCACTACCAGAGGAACCTCAAGTGCCCAGACAACCTGGTGGAGCACAACATGCCTGGGCCACCTTGCACTTGCACTTTTAAGAAGAAAGAAATGTCTGTCTACCTTACTGAAGCAACTGTTATCTTGGTTTCTGTTAAAACAGTCAAATGAATAGCCAGACAGCCCTTCTAAACAAGCTGAGATGCTGCTATTTTCTCCAATACCCTTTCAGTTAAGGCAGTCCAACTTCTCACCATTCTCTGAACCCATTTTTTGCACAAATCTTGGTTTTTACACCAGCTGTCTAACTGCCTAGAATGTTCTTCACTGCCCAGCAAACTCCATCTCAAAATATCACTCAAATGTCACCCTGTATCTTAAGCTTCCCTTGACCTCTCCCCTCTGGCTATGTATTTGGTGCACAGATTCTTTCACTAAAGTGTTCTAAGTGTTTCACAGTCTCCTCTCTACAGCCTGTAAGATCTTTAGGAGAAGGAGCTCTGAATCACTCTCCTTTACACCTGAACCATCCCTCAGCACCATGTCAGACAAACAAGTGCTCAGTAAGTGCTGAATGAACAGCAGAGCCAAGGGAAGGAAGAGCCAGCAATGGGTGGCAGCTCTAATATGTGGGTCCTCTGCCTCTCTCGGTGGACAAAGGTCCAAGCCTTCAGCATCAGGGAGAAGGAGCCATTGAGTATGTTGAGGTCTCTTCAGGCCCCTATCAGTACCAAGACTGGGTCTTCAAGGACGAATGTCCCAGGTATCACTTTGGCCAGGGAACAAAAATGGTCTCTCACTTCTTCAAAGTTCTAGGTTTTCTCCAAGGCATAAGGTTTAGAATGGACTCTCCTGCCTAAGGATTAGGGCTTCATCTGGGCTGCCTGGGAAGGTCTGG